AACAAAAAATTATACACTTTATGGCACTCCCCGGAAAAAACCCCTGTTTTATATACAATTCTTTGAAATTCCGTCAATTATTTCGCGAAAAATTGAAGAAATTAAAAAAACCGGTTTCCAGAAAATCGGTAACGAAAAACTATATAGTATACACCCTATATACTATACTATATACTATACACCCTATAGCACTCCCCGGGAAATTCTACCCCTATTTCTTGTAGGGTAGACCGGGGCACGTTGTCACACATTTTTTTCAATATTTTTTGTATTTTTTACATCCAATATTTAAGAGTACTTTGATATGCCAAAATTTCGAGTGAACCCTCAGCTTCAATTAGACAGTATCGAATTTTGTGTGATTGTTACTCTACAGTTGTTACATAACAATAAATAACGACAGGTAGCTTGTGAAAACGTGCCTCGTGACCAGGGCACGTTGTCACATCAAATGTAATTGCATGCAAAATGCAATCCAAACTGTATACAACGTAAATATTAATATATTATAGTGCGCTGCAATGTAAAAAAGTAAAATCCTTCACAGAAACATTTATTTTATTTCAAAAAAGTACAAAAAGCACGAAGTTTTCGTCTTAATCTAAATAGGCAAAAATTCTACTCGAATGCGCAACTTATTGATAAACATTTGGTAAATATGCATATTAGGTCAAACCTCACCGATGACCTTGACCTTGACATATGTTGTCAAGGTCACCCTCCTGAGTGACCTTCAGAAGGTTTTAGCCGGCGGTTATTGTTTATTAAAAAGTTATAAACAAAAAATGTTTCGAAAATATAGCAGCTATTTTGAGTATTGGAAGGCATAAATGACTAATATATATGTCGAAATAGTTCACGCATACACTTTTCACGCAAACCGAGGTTGACGCACACCTCCCCCGAAAGCAGGGGGGGTGTGCGTAAACCTCGGTTCGCGTGGAAAGTGTATGCGTGAAGTTTTTATGCGTGGAAAGTTAATATGCGAGATGCCACATGGGTTAAATGACGCGCTTTAAAAGTATTCAACTGTTTAAAGCGCGCCATCTAACCCATGTAAGTATTCTCTGCTTTAACAAAAAGATTTCAATTTATCAACAATTTATTACTTTAAATGTTGTGTTTTGGTAAAGCAGCGACTTTCTCGCGAAATAAAGTATTCTCTGCTTTAAAAAAAAAAACGTAATATTAGTCACTTATGCCTTCCAATACTCAAAATATCTGCTATATTTTTCAAACTTTTTTTGTTTATAACTTTTTAATAAACAATGACCGCCGGCTAAAACCTTCTGAAGGTCACTCAAGAGGGTGACCTTGACAACATATGTCAAGGTCAAGGTCATCGGTGAGGTTTGACCTAATATGCATATTTACCAAACATTTTTTCTTTTATAATCATGTCGGTGATTAAACATAAAATATTTTTATTCGTTATCGTCATCCGAAGATTCGCAATAGATTCCCATCAAATTCGTGACAACGTGCCCCGAGGGCGATTTTTTACTTCAAACAGCCTCATGTCCGACACGTTTGAGATATTCGTAAGGTTAGATACTGCACGCGGTAGGTAAAAGTACATACTTTAAGATAATATAAAGGTCTATTCTGAAAAAACATAAGCTTCATGTCCAGTACGTTGAATATTAGACAATAAAATTTTACTTACGGTCGCAAAAAACTTTCAAGTTGATTTTACGTCAACACGGCTGGCGCAATCTCAAGACTGTAAACACACCAAAGATGGGCATACACTAACACGTTTTGGGAATGACGGGTGCTGCCCTCCGGTTATTAGTTTTTTAAATAAAGCTAAAGTGACAACGTGCCCCGCGTGACAACGTGCCCCGGTCTACCCTACCCTTGGTAAAAATTCGGTCCACTAACGAATGAGTAGTTCGCGGACAGACGGACGGACGGACAGACAAACAGTCGAGTTTTATATATAATAGTATGATTTTTTAATTTTGCGGATTTTATCATTTCAAATGCCCAGAATCAGTTCCAAATTTGTACAATTAATACCTTCCGCTTGAAAACTCAATCGTGTTATACAAATAGCGGAAACAGTTTTGTTCGATAATCGATTTTTATTTTTATGTAAATAACTATTGAAAAAATATGTTTGGCTTTGACATTTGAATGGGGAAGAGAAAGAACCAAGTCGACTAATCATTCTAAAGTGAAAATATTTTTTCTCCATTACAGTTTTTAAATTCTAATATATTCTTCCACATGCCATCAATTATAAAGAAGCTAACTTAATTTTTTTTTGTTTATTGTAACATCCTTATGATCTTAAAGATGTCTTGTAACAATTACTGACAACTCTACTTGACGATTTAGATTTTTACTTGAAATGGACCCAAACAAATTAATAAAGTATTTGGTTTAATTTTTTTTATTATTACAAACTGAAGATAAAACTCCACTCGTAAGCTAATTATGTTATATCAATATTTCCTATACGCACTGCAATAAAAAGTAAATTTTCAAATTTAATTCTAGCTTTATTGTAAAAAGTAATTTTCAGATGTAAAAATTGTAATTATTCAAAAATGATATTTTTATATGGCAAGCTTTTCAATATTTCGCAAACCACAGTTATATAAAACTCTAAACAATTTAATTTTGTGCGTGTATTCTAAATTAAGTAACATTTTTAAAAAAACTTTCATATTCTGGTCGAACATAAATATTATTAACATTCCTATAATGCTTTTCTAATGCTTTCGTCGTGTATATTAAAGGCAATAACATTCTCTAAAGTTTTTTAAATTACAAAATTTTATACTATTTCGCGAATTAATCGTTGGCTATTTTTAAACAATGCATGAATTAGAACTTCACGAGTTTAAAACAGAGCATTAAAGTTATTTAGAAAATTTAATAACTATGCTTTTATAAAATTATTATTTAATTAATTTTAAATAAGTTCCACAGATTTTAACTTATCTTCTACTACAGCCAACATAAAATAATTTCCAAAAACTTTTCAATTATCTCATAATCTAATAATGTATTATGTATTTATGTAATACTAATCACCGACTATTTAATAATTTCAAAATCTTATTTTTTTCGCATTAAAAAATTGCTAAAATTTATATAAAATTGCATCTCTTTGCACTACGCGAGATGTAGCAATTCCACGAATTAATTTTTCACAAAATTGGAAGTTTTTCACAATTTTCACAAACTTTATTTACTATAAGCGCGGATGAATGGCAAATACAATTTAATGTAATAAGACCCGGTATTTCTAATTTTAAACGTGACATAAAAGAATTATTGCATCCAATCATAAATTATCATGAAACATTATCACTTGTTATTCCGACAATATTTTTTAAAGAAATTTCTTTTATGACAAACACACATAATTTTAAAAGGAGGGAGTGTATAAAAGTCGCCATTTTTCGCCTAAAAGGCGTACCTGTAAAACATGTTTTGTCACCTTATTTGAGGATGAAAAAGAAAACAATGTTTATTTAAAAGAAAATATTTCAAAAGCGATAATGAATGTTTTTAAAACGTCTGTCGAAAAATGGTTGTATTTAAACGGTTTAATAAAAGATAAAAAATTTTAAAGAAACAAGCACTACATTTCCATTTAATAAATTCTACACCGAATTGTATAAGAATGCTGTACATATAATACGAGTGCGTGCACAATTGCTCATATGTGCAATTATCATATGTAAATACATTTATATATGTATATCTTTATCAAAAACGATACCCATTTTAAACACCGATTCTTACTATCTCGCACGCATATACACACGTATACGCACGCATGCATGAGAGGTAAGGGTGCGTACTGATTTGAGCATTTTTACGCGCACAAATGCTCTAGTGTGGTCGGTTTTGTTTCGACGCACGCAAATGTTGTTCTTACAGAAAAGTTGCAAGTCAATTGGCAATCGCGTAGCTCTTTTAACCAATCAACTTGCAACGTTTTTGTAAGAGCAGAATTTTCGCATATGTTTTTCTTGCAAACGAATTCAAGAATTGAGCCCCTAGAGCACGCATGAACGCGATTCGTCGTTTGTCGGTCCATCAAAGGATTTTTGTGCGAAACGATGCTACGTTTATGCTAAACTATGTATTTTGTGTGCGATAGCCTTCAATCTGGACGTACTTGAGTCTGCGGAACTAAAACATCGCCATCGCGTGCGTGCAAAAAAGTTATGGAGTGGACAATTGAAATGGCTCTTCAATTAATAGATGAGTACGAAAAATCTCCGCTATTGTGGGATGCTAAACGCGCGTTCCATTTTTCAAAAAATAAGAAGGTCGATATTTTCCTGATGCTATAATATTATTGTATAGCTGTGTAGGTAATCCACCATCGTTTTGAATTTCTTTTGCAACCCTTTTGTGCACGATATTTTGCATTACAATATATGCTGCAACTGCTATGGTTATGTCTCTTCTCACCCTAGGGTGCGCTCGGATTCCCCACCCGAGTGCTGAAAATCTATAGTGTACGTGACATATGCTATAGGATTTTTAGCACTCGGGTGAGGAATCTGAACGCAGCCCTAAAGGTCTATCCAGACAAACTTGCATAGGTGCATAACCATATGCATAAAGAAACGGATTGGTGTATTTCCTTATGCACATGCATATGGACCAATCAATTCTCTTATGCTTATGTTTATGGGCTTATGCAAGTTTGTGTGGATATAGCTTAACAGAGTTATCTAAGTTACCTTATGCAGAGAATCTTATTCGTCTGCAATGCGCATGCGTCAATATCGTCCATTATTGTATGTATTAGTTTGCTGTATGAACCAGTTGGATAGGCGACCATGGCAACGATGATATCGGAGTATTCGGGTTATGCGAGTTGCAGACAATTCCCCTTCCATTTATATATATATATATATATATATGTTCTACATTGCAGCTACGTCCCGCGGCTTCCCTTCGTTTTGTACGTTACTGCGCATATGCCTAACAGACTATCAAATGGTCAAATAAAGAAAGGGGCATCTTACAACACTTAGCTGTAGTCCGTTGTTTTCTCCTGCTTGCAGACGAATAAGATTCTGTTATCTTTCATCCGTGTATGCGTGTGTGTGTGTGTGCGCGCGCGCTCACGTAGATAGTAAAAATTGGTGTTTAAAATGGGTATCGTTTTTGATAAAGATATGATCGAATATATTTACATGTAATGATGAGTGCACATATGAGCAATTGTACACGTGGTCGTATTATATGTACAGTATTCCTATACAATTTCGTGGTGTAGAATTCATTAAATGAAAATGTAGTGATTGTTTTAAAACTTTTTAGCTTTTATTAAACCGCTCAAACACAGCTATTTCGACAGACATTTTAAAAACATTCATTTATCGTTTCTAAAATATTTCCCGCAGTTTCCTGGTTAAATAAACATTATTTCCTTCAAAGTGGTTTATAAAATTGACTGCCTTGACTGTAATGCTACTTATATAGGACAAACGAAAGACACCTCGAAACTCGAATTAAAGAACACAAAACCGATATTAGGAAGCACGTCAGTACTTAATCATTCTGTAATAAGCAAACATCGGATTGAATTTAATCACGAGTTTGATTGAGCGGGAACGAGAATATTACATATAGAGAAAAACGTTAAAAAAAGAGAGATTGCAGAGATGTTTTTCATAAAAAAAACACACAGGCAATAAACCTACAGAAGGACACCGATAACTTAACAACAATTTATGACAAAATAATAGGCATGTAACCTTCACGTGTTTTAAATAATTTGGCCTTACGCATTGTGTTCTCCGCAGTCGTGATATACGGACGTGCTTCCTAACACGCTCTAATACACATTTAATTTTATACTAATTTGACGTCTTATTATTTTCTTTTTTACAATATATTTTACCAATACTGACATCATTATATTTGCTGACAACGCACAAAGCATGTAAGTCGCTTGTGTTTTTTACTTTTATAGTTCCTTTGGTATTTATAATATTTAAGCGATCGCGATACAAAAACGAAATTCTGTTTCTGTTTAGTCTTCAGTTTCTGACTTGCGGGAACATTGTCACGAATTGCCTGTCGAATGCTTGTGTAAGAGTTCACCTGAAGAGGGTCCAAATTTGGACCAAAACGTTGTGATTTTTTATGAATAAATATGCCAGGCATAGTCAATTGAAGTTTGTGATTCATTTCCTTCTTATTTCATCTTCAAATAAGGTGACAAAACATGTTTTACAATGCCTTTCAGGTAAAAAATGGTGATTTTTACACCCCCCCCCCTTTCAAAAATTTTGTTTATAGAATAATCTGTTGCGTCTATAGATAGTAAATCTAATAATTGTGTTACGTTTTTAGTTAAGAAAAAACATACTGAATAAGAATACACATAAGTTTTAAATCTGATATGTCTATACTTTCGTCTATTGAAATTGAAAATCTACAATTTCGAATATTTTTAATAACTTTTTCAATTTTGCATTTTGTAATTAGCCGGGTAACAACATTTTTGCACTTATCTCGAGCCAGTGGAAAATCTGACACAACTTCAGGATTTATGCAGATATTTTTTAATAGTAGAATTAAATAATTTGCGTAATAAAAAGTAAATATTATGCTCAGCAAAAAATGCTGCTAATTTTATTTTAACGTATTTAACTTTATCTTTAAAACAAAAAATGAGCCTCTACTATCCTCGGTGTCTGCAAAATCAATATTTAAATTTTTTAATTTTTTATTTCTTATAATGACTCCTTCTCTCTTTTATATTAGAATCCATATGCTTATAATTGTGTAACCAAAAAATCTTACCTAATTTATCTACTTATCTAACCTCGTCTTGTCAGTAAATTCCGTCAAGAAATTATGCAGCACATGTATATCCACGTCACTGTTCACCGTTACGTAAAGCCACGCATATGCCATGCTGCCATGCAGCCTGGCTCGAATCGCAACACGAGACCGGTATATTCATAGTCGGATCTTATATTGAAAACCGTCTTAAGTACGATTTTAAGATGTTATAAACCAATCACAGAGCCATATTAGCATCTTAAGACATTACCTAAGACGGTCTTGAAATAAGATCCGGTTATGAATACCAGCCTAATCAGCTTTAATCTCTGAGATATAAGTACACTGGAAAGGGCACTGGTTTGGCCATATAGACTTAAAAAGAGATAGATGGAGCGTAAGCTCCGGAAACATTCGGACGCTCGACAACACACGGACACATATGTGCGACACGGATCACGGATGTGTCTCCAGTAGTCTCCACTTGTGGTGTGGAGCATGTGGAGGGAATGCTAGCGCATCAAAGCTAGAGACCCCATAATCAGAAGAATCTTGCCATACGGTAACAGACTTTTGATTGGTCCGCCATTCTCCTCAAAAGCAAGAGAAACAGAAAGAGAAAGAGATATAAGAAAGAAAGAGAAAACGATATAAATGTATATCTGATATAAACGTATTCCTCTCTTATATATATCCTTCTCTAATCAAAGCACAGGCACATCTGTGTGCTGTCGAGTGTCTCGAATGTTTCCTCCTTCTTCCTCTGACATTGGCTCTCAAGCAGTTCTGCTCCAAAAACGGCCGGGACGAACCAATGGTCGTGACCTGAATGTTTCCGAGTCTAACCGAAGTTTGTCGAAAAGGACATATCCAGCCTCTTGCGTTGATTTCAGGGGTGCAGACCAATCACTGCTTTATATCAGTTAGTTATATATCTATTACTTCTGGAAAAGCAAGACGGTGATTGATCACCTCTAACCACCATTTGTAATTCCAATGCCGACGAGTATCGGAAAATACGCGATATATCTGTTCTCACAACAAAAATATTAATTATTATTATAAGTCTTTGGAAACGTCTCAACTACAAAATTGTGTTATCAAAAATGTAATATTCTATTTAAAAAATTGAAGGTGACTTTTATATGACCTTGAAAATAGATTTTTTTCGAAAATTAATTTCACCATATATTTGCTCCCTCCAGATCATACAACTTTTGTTTGAAACACTTCTTTCTAAAATTGAAAAAAGTAAAAATTTTGAGGGATAATCGTTTAAAATGGGACACCTTGTATAATACATACAGGGTGAGGAAAAAGTCTGGAACCGGTGAAATATCTCAAAAACAAGACATTTTAGGAAAAAATGTTTTATACATAAGTTGTAGGGCTTCAACAAATGCATCAAACGGTGGTACTTATTTGACCTTGAGCGTAAATATGGAGGAGCTTTCAAATCCAACTTTAAAATTTTAAATGGAAATCCCCACTTTTTATTTAATATTCTTGTAGCTGATGACATCGAGAAGTTTTTAAAACACTATCAATAAACTTTTTTCGGTTGAGTACTTTTCGAGATATGGGTTGACAAAGTTCAAGTACCGCCGGCATTAGCATTAGCCAAGTTGTACCGCGTGGAGGTTGCACGGTCGGGTTTACATCTCATTGTGTGTGTGTGTGTGTGTGTGTGTGTGTGTGT